CCAGATTTCAAAGAAAAATTAATATTTGTATTCTCAATAAGCATAATTTGATAAAAATGGTCTGCAATCTGATTACAATTAGTCCAGGGCATGAGGGGGGGGGGATGAACTAGGGGAGAAATATATTAAGGGACGCTGAGTTAGCCTTTTATCCTTTTAGAAAATATCCAAAATGTACTTTTGTTTTTAAGGTTGAAGAGATAAAATTGTAAATTTTAAGGGAGGTGGGGGCTGGCCTGGATGTCCCAGCCTCCTTGAAAAAGCCTTTAAAGGCTGGGGGGTCTGAATCTATGTATAGGATGGGTTCACGTCCCCCCCCTAATGGCGACGCTGAGTTATCCTTTTATCCTTTTACAAAATATCCAAAATATACTTTTGATTATAAGGTTGAAGAGATAAAATTGTAAATTTTAAGGGGGTGGGGGCTGGAATAGATGTCCCAGCCTTCTTGAAAAGTTCTATAGAGGCTTGGGGGTCTGAATCTAAGTATAGACTGGGGGGGGCGTCCCACGTCCCCCCCTTATAAAAGCCTTAGAGAATATGTATAAGGTTTTAATTCATGTTCATAGCCAAATTTTAAAGGCCAGCTCATTAAAAAAATTAGAACGATAACTTTTATAGCTTGGGTGCTAGGGAGAGTTGAAAAAATACAAAAAAAAGTAAAAAAGATTTAGTTTTTAGATCTGTAGCTTTAGTTTGAAAAAATTAATGGGGTATTTAAGTTTTTTTTTCCCCCACCCCCAGTCAATTTTGCATTTTTTTCTTAATTTCTTCCTCTTGAGTTAAATATTATATTATTTAGCAGAAAAACAAAAATAGGCAAGAGCTGTTTAAATAGAAAACAGTGTAATCTAAGATATTTTGTGTACTTTGAGTATTGATATGTGTTTATGTTTAGATATCTACGAGAAGTGTTTCACAAGTTTACCACACGAAAGCACATTGAGGAAGTGGTGTGAAAATTTAGATGTCTCGCCAGGATTTACAGAGCAATTATAAGTTTAAAAAATTACATTGGAACTAATAGCGGAATCTAAGATCCAAGATCTTTAAGAATGCTGATCATGGAGAACTAAATAAATATTCCTTGCTTAGAGAAACTGCACTACTGTACACAGTCCTACGGCTGAAACATCTTGCCAAGAAGAAGAACTTTGATTTAAAAAAGTCAAAAATTAGAAAAAAGTTAAACAAACTTGTTCTTTTTGCCAACCAATAAGTTTGTTCATGGTGATCATTATTTTGTTTAATAGATTTTTTAATACATTTCTTTATGAAACCATGTAAATTTTATTCATGAGAGAACAAAAATAAATCAAAAAGAGTGACGTCTTTATTTGTTATGTTGTGAGACAACATGTGAGAACTTTAGAATCAACAAAATAAGTTAAAACCTTCCTCTCAGATCTCTGATTTAAATTTAAACTGCAAAATTACTCAAATATCTTTTGTGAATGTTCGAGATTTGTTTGAAAAAGATTGTATTTATAAAGACAGATTTGAACTTATTTTGCCAATTCAAAAGTGTTCAAGTTTAACAGTGAAAGTGACGTATCTTGCTGGGAACCATGCTTTTTTAGTCCAAAAATTACAATTTAAATTCTTCCAACTTATGCTATGAGATTTAACATATAATTACTAATTGACTTTATTGGCAAAATAATTATTTTGGCATATGTCGAAAAACCAATATAAGTTAAGAAATTTAAAATAAAATACATCAATAACATTTTTAGCATACAAGTTAGGGCCGAACCGGGGGGGGGACCGCGCCCCCATGTGCCCCCCCTCTTGCAGGATGAAATGGAGGGAGGACTCGCACGCTTGGCTGCGTTAATAATTCTCAGTATTCTCGAACCCGTTTTTATATCAAAAGAGCCATTTTGGATGTTTTGCGTCATGTTTTCATATTGCTAAATATGCTAAATATTTTTTGAATAGTTGAACTTTGCACAAGGAGTTAGAAAAACGACTTGAAAAAATGAACATTAATTGGTTTCTGCATTTATATTCATGCTTAAAATGACGTCTACAAAAATCCCCCTCTTCTTTAAATGTACATGTTAACCTTTATGTTCAATGATAAGGGTTCCCCTGTACAAACTGTCCATCAGCATTCTATACTCTACCCTTTCTCCGAGTACGGTATTTACTACACACCTTCCATTCTTTAATGTTCCCTCTCTTTCTATCTTCCACCATCCTTCTTTGTCTCAGATTTTCATCTTTACCCCTTGTTTTATTTTTATTTCTCCGACCATTTTAATTATTTCCTGTCCTCCCCAACCCTTTATGTTACCTATGCTCTCTACTCCTTGTTAACCAACTCCTCACTTTATTACTCTCCTTTACTCCCCTCCTCCTCCACTTCCCCTCCCTTTTCTCCCCCTCTCTGTATCATATCTGTTTTTTTTCTTCTCCAGGTCCCTGCAACCCCGGCCCTTGAACCAAGCACTGCCTGAAATATATTAATCCTCACAACCTGAAAAGAATCACTTTTTCAAAAGCATTCTTGAAATATAAAAAAAACAAAAATACTGCCCCCCCTCTCCATAACTTACTTTTTCCTTCTTCGTTCTTCACCACCTCTCTTTTCCCTTTCCACTTATACTGCGAACTACTTTTCCTCCTTTCCATTTGATGGAATTTTATTTGAATGTTAGTTTATTATTATTTAGCATCCAACGAATCATGAAGAAGGGGCCTCCTCACAGCAGATCTACACTTGTATACTCTTGTTCCTACTTCAGTCTTCTTCCCCCCCTCTCCCCTCCCCCTCCCCTCATCTACTAAACCAATCTTTCTCCTAAACTATACACGGGCCTCTAACCGGTAACCCCCCCTCATCTACTAAGCCAATCTTTCTCCTAAACCATACACGGGCCTCTAACCGGTAACCCCCCCTCATCTACTAAGCCAATCTTTCTCCTAAACCATACACGGGCCTCTCGTCTCCCCCCCCCTCAACCAGTCATAAGAGGTCTGAACAACATAAACTGCCTGCAGGCGCAGACCTGGGACAGGTTTCAGGCTTCTTCAAACTGCACGCAGATACAGGCAGAGACAGATAGATAGATAGATAGAAAGATAGATAGATAGATAGATATATTAATAGATAGAAAGATAGATAAATAGATAGATAGATAGATATATTAATAGATAGATAGATAGATAGATAGATAGAATGATAATTATATAAAGATGCTCTACACTTGGCAAATAGTAAATACAAATGTTTTAAACAAAAAAAGTAATTTGGGCATTTAAGCGCTATTCTATAATGTCCTAAACTGTTCTACACTGTACTATACTTTGCTGTACTGTTTTATAATGTTCTGTACTGTTCTATACTGTTATACACTGTACTATGCTTTTCTATATTAAGTTCTATACTGTTTAACACTTTTCTATACTGTTCTATATTGTTCTTTACTGTTCTACACTGTACTATGCTGTTCTATACTATTCTATACTGTTCGATACTGTTCTATACTGTTCTATACTGTTCTATGTTGTACTGTACTGTTCCATGCTGTACTTAACTGTTCTATGCTGTACTGTAATGTTCTATACTGTTCTTTGCTGTACTGTACTGTTCTTTGCTGTACTGTACTGTTCTATGCTGTACTATACTGTTCTATGGGGCACTGTAATGTTCTATACTGTTCTATGCCGTTCTATACTGTTCTATGCTGTACTTTACTGTTCTATGCTGTTCTATACTGTTCTATGCTGTACTGTACTGTTCTATACTGTGGTGTAAGGTTGGTATCTGCCCTCAACTCCCCAATAAACATATTGAGAAAGTAAACAAAAAACCAAGAAATAAAAATCATTCGAAACTTGAATCGTCAAATAGTGAATTGAATTGAAAGACGGGATCTTTGTGTCATAATTTCAGCTTTTCTAGTCTTTAAAGGGAGTGACCGGCTATGTAAGGTAGTTGAACTGAGTATGCAGTGTTGTGGAAAACTTCTTTTGGATTTATTTGAGACAAATTAAACTTTTTAAACATCTGTAAATCCTGAGTTTGAGCGCAAATTCGACGTTTAAAACTCCTACTTTGGGGGTGGATACGTTTTCAGAATTAGTTTTGTTTTAATTATTAAATAACGACAACGAAAAATAAAGTAAAAATTATACAGTAATCTAATTAGATGGTAAGGAACATATTTCTCAAAAGAAATTTGTCAATAAATCAATGCTAAAATCGATTTTTTCGTTTTCATTATTATATTGAATTTCTAATTTTCTTTGAATTTATTCGCAGATTTCTTCAAATTCTTCAAATGTCGTCTTTTCAAAAATAATTCTAGAAAATCTGCGACAACTTTGAGAATAATGAGAAACCAGAATAATGAGATAATAGATACTAATAATTGAACAAGATTACTTATTTTCGATGGTAAGATTAATTTCTATTTTCTTAACATGTTCCTATACATGACGTCTGTAGTTTATTGTAGAACTTTTTACATATTATGTCGTCGTTATTTAATAATTTTAAAAAATCTAATTCTGAAAACGTATCCACCCCCAAAGAAGGAGTTTTGAATATCGAATTTGCGCTCAAACTCAGGATTTACAGATCTTTAAAAAGTTTAATATGTCTCAAATGAATCCGAAAGAAGCTTTCCACAACACTGCATACTCAGTTCAACTACCTTACATAGCCGGTCACTCCCTTTAAGCAATTCTGTTAAGTATATTTGGAAAATTGTCTGAAGCTAATTTTAATTTCGACCGCAGATTTGGGCCCAATGTGTTTATCTGTTCTGATTTTTAATGGATAGAAATCGACAGATATATGTAAATAGATAAAAGCAAATAGATTATCAAGTATACAATAGGTGGCAACAGAGAAATGAATAAATTATGCACGACGTTACAAGTGTCAAATATAACAAAGGAAATGAAATTTTCTCACATTAGTTGACATGTTTTTTTAAGATTAAATAAAAAGTGTGAAAACAGAAAATAAATAACACATACCATTGCACCTTTTTTCACTGTAAGGTAAGCTCTATATACTAAAATTTTCACTATTATTAATAATCTTGTCGGACACAATACTGAGTTGACACTTGTCATGTGAGAATACAGCTGTACTGAGAGTGTACAAATTCTACGTTACCATCTACTGTACTTAACAATCTATCTGTACAATTTGTAAAACAAGATGAACAAGGTTTGTGTGTAGGATAGAAAGACAGTGAATTAAAACCGGATTCAGGTTTTATGCCATTTATAAACAGGTTTCTCTTATCCTTATTTCAAGCGTAATTTAAAGGGACTGTGAACGAAATTTCGAGTAACCCTCCCTATATAGAGAGGCATACTCGATTTACAACGGTATCCTTTAAACCAATATCAAAAATGTTTTTATTCTGGCTGGAACAGTGAATATGTCACTTACACAATGAAACCATATGTGTAAATATCAATTTTCAAAGAGAAAAAATCTCATTAATTAATCAAGGTATTTTTGTGAATCGGACATGGTAGATTTAAGACATTATAGAAAATGGGGATATTCGCTCGCTAAAAAAGCAACTTCCAAATATCACATTTCTTGGCCAACAGACTGAAATATATCTTACTTTTCCTTATTTACTCATACTCCTCATACTCTAAAGAGATGTGCTAGTTGATATGCGTAAACAACACACATGTACACGCACAAATACAAATTATATGCGTAAACAACACACATGGACACGCACAAATAAAAATTATATGCGTTAAACAAAACACATGGACACGCACAGATACAAATTGTATGCGTAAACAACACACATGTACACGCACAAATACAAATTGTATGCGTAAACAACACACATGGACCACAAATAAAAATTATATGCGTTAAACAACACACATGGACACGCACAAATACATATTTACATAATACTAAATTTTTCACATACAAATCTTAAATTTTTCACATAACAATAAAACTAAGCTTTCTAAATTCTGTACAGAAACAGCTTTCCATTCTTCAGCTATAAACGTCGCTTTAAAGGATAGTTCAGGGTTTTAATATGCATGTAAAATAAAAGATTGCAGGTTAGATAGTTAGACAGAAATTAGAAATGATGATAGATAGAAAATTGCAAAGATAGAAGGTTCGTTAAATATATATATTTAGAGAATAGATAGATAGATAGATAGATAGATAGATAGATAGATAGATAGATAGATAGATAGATAGATAGATAGATAGATAGATAGATAGATAGATAGATAGTTAGATAGATAGATCGATAGATAGATAGATAGATAGATAGATAGATAGATCGATAGATAGATAGATAGATAGATAGATAGATCGATAGATAGATATATAGATAGATAGATAGATATATAGATATACAGATAGATAGATCGATCGATCGATCGATAGATAGATAGATAGATAGTTAGATAGATAGATCGATAGATAGATAGATAGACAGATAGATAGATAGATAGATAGATAGATAGATAGATAGATCGATCGATCGATCGATAGATAGATAGATATCGGAAGGTTAGATAGAGAACTGGATAGATGGATAAATAAATTGGAAGGTTTATTCATTTATTCATTCATTCATCTACTCATTTATTCATTTATTATTTAATTCATTTATTCATTTTTTCATTTTTTATTAATTTATTTATACATTTATTCATTCATTCATTCCTTTATTCATTATTCATTTATTCATTTATGTATTTTTTTCATTTATTCATTTATTCAGTTTTTCATTAATTGATCAATTTATATATTAACTCATCTATGCAGTTATCCAGTTATCCATGCATAATGAGTAGCATAACACATTTATATTGGAATCTAATCAAGCCTTTTATTAATTCAGGATGGGGTTGAATCGGATCACAGCTCATTGGTATGGGAGCTCAAATACTTCAAAATAAAAGTTGGGTTGTTGTTTCCTACTTGGGGTTTTTGGGGCCCTGAGATCTTAAGAATCCCAAAGTGGGAAAAATTAGAATTTATAAAAATAAATTGTTAAAAAGAGATAGTTGGAAAGATTAAAAAGAGAGCTGGATAGATGGATAGCAAGACAGATAAAGAAACAGGCAGATCTGCTTTGTGTTAAGAGTACGAGAGAAGAAACAAGGTGTACAAAGGAGTTGTTTTAATTGAGTCTCATGCTTTGTGATCAAATCTGAAGATGCCCTTTATATAGAGTACACTGAACCTTTATACATGGCTTTATACAAACCTGTACACAGAGTACACTAAACCTGTATACAGAGTACACTAAACCTTTATATAGAGTAGTTNATACAGAGTACACTAAACCTTTATATAGAGTGCACTAAACCTGTACACAGAGTACACTAAACCTGTATACAGAGTACACAAAACCTTTATATAGAGTACACAAAACCTTCATATAGAGTACACTGAACCTTTATACATGGCTTTATACAAACCTGTACACAGAGTACACTAAACCTGTATACAGAGTACACTGAACCTTTATACATGGCTTTATACAAACCTGTACGCAGAGTACACTAAACCTGTATACAGAGTACACAAAACCTTCATATAGAGTACACTAAACCTTTATATGAATACACTGAACCTTTATATAGAGTACACTAAACCTTTATATGAAGTGCAATTAACCTTTATATAGAGTATATTAAACCTTTACATACCTTTATATAGAGTACACTAAACCTTTATATGAAGTACACTGAACCTTTATATAGAGTACACTGAACCTTTATACAAAGTACACCAAACCTTTATATAGAGTACACTGAACCTTTATACAAAGTACACCAAACCTTTATATAGAGTACAAAACCTAAGTACACTGAACCTTTATATAGAGTACATTAAGCCTTTATTCAGAGTAAACTTAACCATTATACAGAGTACACTAAACCTTTATATAAAGTAAACCAAGGTAACTAGGCAAGGAAAGTTTGTAGCTGTTGCGTATGCTATGCATTCATATTGATACCGGTTATTTCTCTTGGCTGTGTTTGTAAACAAGAATAGATGCATTAGTGTCAGTGTTCCACTAGTATCCGAGGAGGATAAAAGCATTTAATTTTAATAATTTTGATAATTCACGTATTAGTTTCCTATGACCAGAATATTTCATTGATTTTTATGTGAAAAATGGATCCCATGTCAGGCTGTGTTTACAATACAGTCCAGAGACAGTACATTGCAGTACAAAAAATGCGTACACCTCTGAAATAACTATCGTTACATTATAATTCTCTGAAGTAACCCATTCCAGCCTGTATACAGTTTAAACTTTAAATTTATGTTTACAAATATGGATATGAATTCATGATTATGCATATGCATACATTTGTAAATATGAATTAAATCTATCTATCTATCTATCTATCTATCTATCTATCTATCTATCTATCTATCTATCTATCTATCTATCTATCTATCTATCTATCTATCTATCTAACCTGTTTAAGGTTAAAGATTTGTTTGAATTTCTCAGTTTATTTTCTATTTTTAAAAACGGATCAAACAGGATGTCCATCTGAATATTCATACATATTATATATCACTCTATAAATTAAAGCTCTTTGCTCATATATATTATATGTCACTGTAGTTGGCTAGACCGCTGAACCGAATTGGCTAACATTTTTAGTGGAAACCCATGGGGTAACAAAGGCTAACAAAGGCTAACAAAGGCTAACAAAGCTGTTTTTTCTTCAAAAATCTATGTGTTTCTAAAATCTGTATTATATTTCTATGATAACCATGATGATAAAGACTTCTCTATTGCGGTGTGTGGGAGGGGTGTGTTGAGTGAATATATGTGTACAAAAAATACATCCTGTTTAGGGTTTAGGAAGACATTGACAGAATGAACAATCACGATAAAATCATCGAAAAATAACTATTTAAATTTTCTGCCATCCGCGTGAAAATATCTATAAATGGAATAACACTATTATGTATTATACGAAATAATAAATATTTAAGGAATTTGATTATTTTCTTGTTTAGATTTTAGATTTTAAATGGACTTTCGTTGTAATCTCCATATTATAAAGTAGGACAAGACAAGATTTACTATGGTACCCTTTCTTAATCTTATTAATAAGGTTTTCAATGTAATGTAATCAAAGTAAACTTAAAGTAAATATAATTTTGCAATTTAATTGATAACTCACACTTTTGTGTAGCAACTTTAACGTCGAAAAAACCTAATTGTATTAAAACGATTTACCCGGCGCGGTGCACTAAAGCACTGGTTAGATCGGTGGCAGCCTGGCAGTTGGTTCAATCAAGTAGGTTATCACTTGATAATACTTCTCAAATTTAATAAGATCTATTTCCCGGTAAAATGCATTTTTGACAATAATCTAATTGTATTTAATTTGATCCATGTAAATCATTGTGGATCCAGGATCCATGTTATTCATTGTGGATCCAGGATCCATGTTATTCATTGTGGATCCAGGATCCATGTTATTCATTGTGGATTCAGGATCCATGTTATTTATTATGGATGCACGATGAATTTTAGACTGCGTAGTTTTTTAGTCAGCAGTATTTACACGTGACTTTCATCAATTCATTAATTCTTGGCATCAACGCGGGGAAAAAGTATTCAAAATTCATTGTTTAGGTTTATGTGGATTTTTCATAATCATAAATTTTTTCATCGCATTTAATCGAATTAAAATTAAGAGAAATTAAGATCTACGGTGAAACTTAGATACTTAAGGGGGAGGGGGGTAGAATCAGATATAAAATGAGTTTTTTATAAAATGTTGTGGTCTGGCTTTTTTTAATAAGTTATATGAATTATTGAAGTGGAAGTAGTAGGGAGGATGGGGGGAGGGAGAAGTGGAGGTGGTAATTATTGCCCCCCCCCTCTCTATTAGCGATCAGTGCTCCTTCTCTGTATTATCCACCCTTAGGACAAAGTTTGAAAATAAACACTTTAATATTTTAACCTTTGATCTGCAGTTTCTCTTCCCCCCCCCCCCCCCC